CTCTGAAACTTGATGAAGCAAAAGTTGATGAGAGCAAGCAAATGGATTTTGCTAAAGTAGAAAAACGTGTCCGAACTACTGGCGGTGGCAGCACAGGAACTGTCAGGTGAGTTCGATAGAAGGTTCATGTTTTGATTCTTGCTTATTCTTCGCAGTGTTTGAGCATATGATCAATTGATATGTTCTCTCCTCAGGAACTTGCGTATTCGTGAAAACACTGCAAAATATCTTCTGAATCTTGATGTTAATTCCGCTTACTATGATCCCAAAACCCGATCGATGCGTGAGGATCCTCTTCCCAACACTGATCCGAATGAGAAGTTCTATGCAGTAAGTACCCGAGAGTTGTATTTTGCAGCTGCAGTTACATTGATCCTTCTTGATAATCTAAACATGTGCCAGGGAGACAATCAATACAGAATGACCGGACAAGCTGTAGAGTTCAAGAAGCTTAATATCCACGCATGGGAATCATTTGAGAAAGGCCAGGATGAGATCAACATGCAAGCTGCTCCATCTCAAGCCGAGCTGCTTTTCAAGAACTATAAAGCTGTAAAGGAAAAACTGAAGAAACAGATGCAAGAAAGCATCAAGGAGAAATATGGAAATGCTGCATCTGAGGAAGAAATCCCGAGGGAGCTTTTATTGGGGCAAAGCGAGAGAGAAGTCGAATATGACCGTTGTGGAAGAGTTATCAATGGAATGGTACTGTATGGACTACTTTATCCTCCAAATTCATTGCGGTTTTGATCTTTCTTCTTACTCAATATTCCTTGGTAAACTTCAGAATTCATCAGTATATATTGTCAGATTTGCCAGATCGCATCTGTTTCATAAACATGTATATTAATATTTCTTCGTACATGTTTTGTTTCATTCTTTTCTCTTTTGATTGTTGTTTTAACAGGAGTCGTCGCTACCAAAAATCAAATACGAGGAAGATGTTTATACAAACAACCACACAAGCGTATGGGGGTCGTGGTGGAAGGATCATCAATGGGGATATAAATGTTGTCAGCAAACAATTAAGAACAGCTACTGCACTGGAGTTGCAGGAATCGAGGCAGCTGAGGAAGCGTCAAATCTTATGAAAACCAATATCGAAAGACACGCAACAGCCTCTTATGGTTAGGATTGATTGCACTTGTGCTTGTGTATTTTATTTACTTTCTTTCAAGTTATCTATGTGTTTCCTCTTTACATATCGCTTATCGATTATGATGGCAATGTGGATGTAGAGATGTCTGGTCCAGTAGAAGAGAAAAGACTCGCGACTTGGGGAAGTGGCATACCAGAAGATCTGGTTCTTGACCAAAAAAAACTCGCGGAAGCTCTGAAGAAGGTATGAAGTCAATGACAAAATGTGGTCCTTTTTACGTTGCGCTGCATGTGGCTAATGTCATTGGTATATGGACAGGAGGACGAGAGGAAGAAAGTGGAGAGAGACGAAAGGAAACGCAAATACAACGTCCACTGGAATGATCAGGTACATTTCGCAGATTATAGAGCTAACTGTACTATGTTTTGATCAAACTGAGTTTATGGAACGTTTGTTTTTGAATTCCAGGTTACAGCTGAAGAAATGGAAGCGTACCGAATGAAGAGAATGCACGAAGATGATCCCATGAAGAATTTTCTGCAGTGAAGTGGCTTTAGCGAATAGAAACTATTCTAGTTTAGAATTTCCATTTGTGAGAACAGAACTAAATACTGCATTTTCATCCTTATTGCACATGACCTTCTTCTATAACACTTCCATACAAAATAAGATTCATTTTGCAGCAAAATCTGAGATCGCGATTTTCCAATTCTTCAAATTCTCGTGTCGATTTGATTCGATTTTGGGATTTTCATGAATCCCAGAAGAGAAAGAGTATTAACGAAACCGTTGTGATCGATGGAAAGGAGCTAGGGTTTGTGCTAAATGCTTCAATCTCCCTCTGATTTTCAATAGAGTGAGCCCAAATGGTGGAGAGATTCTTCCCGACGAATGCGAGCTCCGGGGATGGAACTCGCCGGCGGGAACATCTCACTCTCCTCTCCGGCCCGATTTCCTCGTACTTTTCCTCCGACGCTTTTCTCTAATTGTTATCCTCTCTCTCTCGGCTCACTCATTGTTGTCTCTACTACAGAGGCAAAACCTCTTTGCTCTTCCAATTTGCTATCAATGTAGCGACTGCTTCTGAAAGCAATCGTGTCGTCTTCATCTGTCGCCGGAAAAGAATCGAAACGAATCCTCCGTTTTTCTCTCAGGTACTTTTCGCATCAATACGTGAGTTTCTTTGACCTTTCTGTTGGATTTTGATGGAATCTAAAACTCAAAATATTTCTCAGGGAATCGACACTTCCTCCGATGTACTCAATCGAATTCAGATCAAGTAAGAAACAAACAGCCAAACTAGATTACTTAGCAGCTTTGATTAAGCAAACGAATGTTTCAATCAAACACCGTGGTTGAAGGTATGTAGATGATGATGAAGGTATAAGGAATTACTTTGCTGCGTTTCATCTTCATCTTGATTTCCCAGCTGCAGTTGTAATCGATGATTTCGGTGATTACTTTAGCCAATTGTAAGTTTCAAGATTTGACAAAAGCTCTCTCTACAAGTTTCACATTCTTGATTTTTTCGATGATTTGAGTTCTTTTTCGATTAGAAATTCCAAGGGGAGTGTAATGAATTCTCGGGGTAGAGATATGGCGATGGTTCGGACTCTTGCTCTATGCCACAATGCTATTGTTGATGCTAAGTGAGTGAACTCTTTTTTCCTAGTAAAAGTTGAGAAAAAGGTTTTGCAAAACTAATGAAAATGGTGTCTGTTTTCAGCAAGAAAACTGCTTGCGAACTTGTCTTATCCGAGACTAATCATGGAGACTCACCGAGGTCGTTGTTCATCTACAAACGATGGATCCAGACGATCTTTACAATAAGAGGTTTTGTTTTGTTTTTACTTGTTTTCAATTCATATGAACAGAACAATATTTGCAATGCTTAGTTTTTAAAGTCCATTGAATCTGATGAAGGTCATGGCGATGGATCGTTTCTCTTGAGAAGTGATGGTACATCAGAGAAAAGCGCTAAGTATTCGATCGCACTGCAATATCTTATCTTGGAGGAGATGGTTAATGGATAGTTTAACTGAGCAGAGTACCTCCACTCTTTTTGAAAACAGTATGGTTTCTTAAAATTCTTGTAGTTTCAATAACTTTTGCAATATCCTATTTGCATTGGGTATTTCTTACTGCAAAAATGTTAAATTGTCTTTCTTGGCTCAGTTTTTAAGATAGAAAACCTAACTATAAATGGGGATTATAGGTCTTTCTCGCTTGTTGCTTAGAGTGGCTTGCTCTCTTTCTCGCTCCCATACTCACATAAATAGATTTTTATTTTTATTTATTTAATCACAAGTCGCTATGGAGAAGAGAAACCTTCCTTGGGATTTGATAGAGGAGATACTCTCTAGGGTTCCGGCTAAAGCTCTAGTACGATAGCGATCAACATCGAAACAATGGAGTGCTTTTTCGAAAAGTGGGAGTTTTGCTAAGAAGCACTCTGCTAATGCAGCAAAGGAGTCTGTGGCTATCATGTTGCGTGCTCATAGGGTTAACTTAGTGAGGATCAATCTCCATGGAATTCACAACGATGTTACTCCATCTGTTAAGATAGCAACTCAGTTCTACCTTAAAGATCCTCTTTCTTATTCTTCACAAGTCGAGATAGATAGGATCTTTCATTGCGACGGCTTATTGTTATGCACCACGAAAAACAATAGACTTGTGGTTTGGAATCCATGTTCAGGGGAAACCAGGTGGATCCAACCTAGAGACACGTACGAGGAATCCGATAAGTATGCTCTCGGTTACGACAACAAATCTTCCTGCAAGAAATACAAGATATTGAGGGTACATCTTCGGCACAATAACTACGGAAAGTACAATGTGTACGAAATCTATGACTTTACCACGGATTCTTGGAGGGTTCTTGGTACGTCTAAAGATTGGTCCTTTGCTGCAAATCATCGTGACATATCTATGAAGGGAAATACCTCGCTCTTGATTGGGGGCCTTATCCCTGTTTTTTAGTAGGTTTCGATTTTTCAAAAGATATAATTCGAAAACTGTCTCTTCCTCCTACTTTTTCTTGTCGCATTGTGGCTTTATCAGGGTTTAGAGGAGCAACTTCGTCTGTTAGGTACTTATAGCATCGGCGAGGAAACAGATTTATCAAATTTACATGTATGGGTGACAACTAGTATCGGATCAGTCATATCATGGAGCAAGTTCGTAACAGTGAAAACCAATTTTGAGCGTAATTATTTGCTTAGCTTTTTTGATGGGGTGAGTTTCTTGGCCGACGAGCAGAACACAGTTGTAGTGTGTTGCAATCAGCACTTGGTCAACAACAAATTCTTACACATTTGGGGAGAAAACAAACCATACGAGTGGATCCTCATGCTGGAGATTCTTACACATTTGGGGAAAAAACAAACTCATATATGTCATCTTGGCCAGTTCTTTTGGATTATGTTCCAAGTTTGGCTCAAATCCAACAAGGTTCTCTTCCTCGAGGATGCAACAGGAAAGTGCCAAGCATGTGACTTGTAATTGTCTC